CTAAGCCTGAACATCCATAGCTTTCTTCCTTTTCATATTAAAATAATGTTCCATTTTTCAACTGAGGCAAAAAAATGGGCAAAACCATAAGCAAACTGAAAGACAATATGTGCTCTTGATCTTCACAGTGACCTTTATCTCTTTCTTTGAATTTTTACTTAGTAGAGCTTCTTTAACTTGATGTAAGACCTAGGTTTACATGTATAAGTCTTGTCATTATTGGAGGAAGGAGAAATTCCCAAATTTGCATGATGCCACCCATCTTTCACTTTCAGTTCTATTCTGTTTTCTGAGAAAACCTTGTGAAATAGGGCAAGCTGCTGCCTTTATGTTTTCGTACCTTCTAGCACCTACTTCCAACCTCTCCTCTATCAAAATTGCCCTAACTCCATCAGTGACCACTCATTTTCATTCCATGGCTTTTCTTCTCATTCTTAATTTCTCTGCTGTTTTTGTTAGGTGTTTTACCTTGCCTTTGAAATTCTCTCCTGGGCAGCTTTAAAAAATAGGAAAAGTTCCTATATGCCTTGTTTAAAAAAAAAAGCCTCTTTGAAGGTAACTAGATGAATACATGACAGCTTTATGATCCTTTTAAAATCAGGGAGAATGTTTGCTTTTAATGTTTGCTTTCTTTGCTTAGCCTTAATAGTTGATCACATTAATTTAATTTCATAAATGTACTTGTTCATTTACCTAAAATGTATTGAATGCCTTCTGTGTGCCAGACACTGTTTAAGATGTTTGGGATGCATAACTAAAGAAGTCGTAGATTCTTGCCCTTGTGGAATTTATGTTTGTGCATTTAAAAACTATCTGATTGCTCTATGTTTAACATACATCTGGTTTGTGTTTGACTTTTTGAATAGATACCCCTCTTGTTTCTAGTGTAGAATTCAGCATGTCTTATAACTAGTTGCCTATTTCTAAGTCTCTTGGGAGCTGTAGTTAGCGTTATATTAAAGCAATGGCCATATGTAGTTATATTTTTATCAGAAATATTGAAAGCAAGATTCTTTCTGTAAACTGCTCTTTTCTTTGGATCTTCCCTGGTCACAGATACTAGTATCATCGGTTTAATATCCATTAGTACCTCTTAAGTACTGGGGTGCTGTATGCAATATAATTATTATATCCTTACCAGGATAATCAACTGTAACTGAAAGCTGTCAATCATGCAGTATTATGAATGACTTAGTTCTTTTTAAATATCAGTGTATAAAGATAAATAATGACTAGGTTTTTAAGAGAGAAGAAAAGTGTTTTTTCATTATGCCTGGCTAGACAGATGGCTGAGGGTCAGCTAGAAGGTGAATGTTGATTAAGTTGAATCATATTATGATAATGTTCATTAGGAACTGTTGGCTATTAACTGTAAGGAATGTGATTATGCATGTGTAAGGAGAGGTATTCCGAATTCAAAATCTTATGTAAATCATTGCACAACATAATCTGAGGCAGCATAATATTTAGCAAGTTGTTCTCTTCATTCTGCCTGCAGTATTGGAAATACATTGAAGAAGAATGTGTAAGTTCTAGGAGTGAATAGAGGCCTAGAGCAGTGTAGATAGAAGTGCATGGATTTTGGAAAGGTTGGGGAAAATAAAATGCATTAGACTTGTTGATGGATCAGTAATAAACTATGTGGCAAAGAGGAATGTCAACAATAATTTCCAGATTGTGGGGACAGTCACTGTGATGGGATACTCTGGAAAATGACCAGGTTTAGGAAGAAAGAATAGGAGTTCAGATTTGGGCAGGTTGCCTTAGAGCCTCTGGAGCTCAGAATACATGGATGTGGTGATAATGCTCAGATTCAGGAGAGTGGAGAGAAGCAGATCACTGAGGAAAAGAGTGGAGAGAGGAAACAAGCAACACTTAAGAAATTAATAGAGGAGAAGCATTCAGCAGTGGGGCCTGTGAGGCGGTAGAAAGACAGTGCTTTGTAGTTGAAGTCAGGGGAAACAAAGTGGTCAACAGTGAAAGGACTGAAAAATGGCACTTTAATTTATTGGCATGGGAAGTGATCATGTATTAAGTGAAAGCTATTTTCTAGGAGAGAGAAGCCATGTTGAGCTGAGTTGAGGAATGAATGGGAGGGGAAGAAATAGAGATAGTGACTTATATAACAACTATTTTGAGAAATTTGATGGGCTAATTAGGAGACAGTATGGGAGCTAGACTGTTATGTGGAGTTGAATAAAAGTTTCTTTTACACGGAAGGTATTAGGGTTTTAATAGCAATAGATACACAGTAATGACTTGTTGATCTCCATATATAGCAGATATTTAGTTACTTTGAATTTCCTCTATGTGATACTATACATTACTGAACTCATAATTCGCAATATTTTGCATTTAGTTTCAGAGTAAATGAGCGTAGTACTTTACACATTGTTGTTTTTGGTTAAATCAGGTTTTTACACTATGAGTACAGAAACTCAGCTACCCTTAGATCACATGTTTTTCCTATTCAAAAATATAATCAGAACCAAATAATAAAATATGAATAAGATCCTTTTACAACTGATCCTGGCTCTCATGTGGCATAATACTCTTTTGCTAATCTTAAACTCAACTGCACAGTGAAGAGGAGTCAGCAAGAAGTTAGTTCCAGGTGTCAAATAGTTGACTCAGGTGTAAGTCTTCTCAAGAATAATTGATACTCTTTCTCTTGTATTTTGTGGAGCATATTGAGCTATATGGTTTTCCCAAATTAACCAAAGTAATATTTTAATTTAAGTCCAAGAGAGAAATTTAAAGAATCGAAATATAGTTTATATACAATGTTATATTTGTTTCAGATGAACAACTTAGTTATTCATCAGTTACATACATTACTAAATGCTCATCATAAGTATAGTTACCATCTGTAACAATACAAAGATATTACAGTACTATGAACTATATTCTGTGTGCTCTACTTACATTTCTGTGACTAAATTATTTAGTAATTTGAAGTTTGTACTTCTTTATCCTCTTCACCTGTTTTCCCTGTTCCCTGTTCATTTACCATCTGCAATGGTAACCTACCATTCTCTGTGTTTGTAAGTCTGTTTCTGTTTTGTATGTTCATTTGTTTTGTTTTTTAGATTTTACATGTCAGTGAAACCATATGGTGTTCATCTTTCTCTGAGTTATTTCATATAGCTTTATACCTGCTAGTTCCATCCATGTTGTCTGTTGTCAACAAATAGCAAGATTTCCATTTTCATAGCTGAATAATACTTCTCTATATATAGGTACCAAATCTTTATCCATTCATCTTTTGATGGACACTTTAGTTGCTTCCATATCTTGGTTATGGTACGTAATGCTGCAATATACATAGGGGTGCATATATATTTTACCATGAATGATTTCATACTTTTTTGTGTATGATTACAAAAGAATTTAAGATCATTGTAAATATTTCAAATAGCATGGGCAAATAGAAGTTCTTTCCCTCATAGTTCTATACAGATATTTTGAATTTTATTCTTCCATATTTTTTTTCTATGCATGTTAAAAGCAGGTTTCAAAATGTGTTAGAGAAAGAGAGAATGCATATTTCAAATAATACCATATATATGATTTTGAAATCTGCGTTTTTTCACTTAGCAGCATAACTATATTCTTTACTAGTGCAGTGGCCTCTTAAAACATACAAACTCTATCTCTTTTTACTCCCTTTTGCTTCAAGGCTATCAGTATTGTCAGCTTAATAAGTTATCTAACTCAACAGTATAAAATTTTCCTTGAAGAGGCTGAAAGAAAGCAGAATGGATATAAATTTGATGGTTTATTAAAATTGCTAATGGGATGAGTTTAGTTGAACTTTTGAATTATGGAAGTTATTACAGTTTTTCCAGTGTAGTCAGGTTATGACAAATGGGGAAAGCATAGCACATATTTTTAGAGGAAGGGCATGCCCACAACTGAGGTCTGGGCTGGTGGTGGAAGAATGTGTATAAGCTAGAGAAGTAGGTGAAATAGGTGGGAGGCCAATTTTAGAAAATATACATGGATTCTATTACTTATCAGGCTTAAAACTTGAAGCCAGAGCCTGGGATGTTAGGTCAAACCAGAGTACATCAAGGTTTGGAGTCCATCTGGTTACACCATGGTCAGTTCTAAGAGATCAAATGTGAGCAGCAAGCACAAATTGAGATAAACTCTGAACAGAAGGCATAGAACTTAATTCCAGGTTCAAGGTAGGCACCAGGAAAAAGTTGAGGAAAGGAATTTATATTCATGAGCCTGGAAACTATAATTCCATTTCTTATTCAGTTGGGCAGATTAACATAGTAGCATACCTACTATGTGATCATTGACTTCATGACAAGAGATAACTTGCATTTGTTCTAATTCTAAACACCCTTGGAAATGGGCAAGGCTGATAAGTATATGTTGCTCCCCCAGCTCGGAATTGCATAAGTTTTGTAGGAAAGGGCTAGGACCTTCCGGTAGGGAGCATTTTGGATGAGGGGGTATAGTCAAGTTGTGATAAGCCTGTGGTCCGCTCCCTGCATCCCCTCTCTCATCCACTGTCATACACACAATCTTAGGCACTGTGCCATACATTCATCTTGGGGGATTCAGAGGGTTCTTTTTGTCTTGAAATGTTGTGTAGGAATATATAGTTCACACATTCATTATTATGAATAAGCTCATAGGATGATTAAAAAAAAGTTAATGAGAGGAAGAAAAAAGCTTTCCTTCATAGTGGAAGAGCATGGTTCACAAATGAAGAAGATAGGAGCAAGAAAAATTGAAGACATCCCATTATTTCATGCCCCTGCCTCCCATTTTTCTCTTGACCCAGGCTAACACCTTTGTATAAACTCATTAATATATATACTTTATATATTACATAAACTTTCCATAACAACAGCAGTTGAGCACCTGGGGAGGGAGTATGAGTGGTTTATTTTCTTGTTTTTTTCAGGCACAGTAACCTTGGTGCACGACCAAAAGGGCTGTCCACTCTGGTGAAGAGTGGCGTTCCCGAAGCATTGAGGGCAGAGGTGTGGCAGCTGTTAGCTGACTGCCATGACAACCAGGCAATGCTGGAGAGATACCGACTTCTTATCACAAAGGTAGGAAGCTCTTTTCTTATTATTCTGATGGGACAACATAGTATATCCTGTTTTCATAGCTCCAGTAAGTCAGAAATGCTTTGAATTTCTCTAAAAACTATGATGGTGTTGTGCAGTGAGGTGTTGCGCAGTGAGTGGTTCTGCCTTTTGAACTGAACCTTTGTTGGAAAGTGGTAAACAATGCCCTGTAGTCATCTTTGAGCACTTTATGCCTTGGATTTCATTTTTTTGTTCAAGTGACTATATAATAACTATTTACCAAATTGGAATGTATTCATGGTTCAAGTGTTTTCAATTAATTTTTTGTATGGAATTTATATATAGTTACACTTGTACACAGTAACTGTACTCTAGTATAATTTTAAAGTTAAATTAATTTAAAATGAAGTAAAAAAAAAAACCTTCTGTGTTTATGTAAGCTTACACTTAAATGTTATGGATGGCTGCTCAGATCCTTATTCTTTCAGGAGTTCTTGGTTCAAATGTAATTTCCTCCGATGTCCAAAAAGCTGATTTTAGAGCATAGTAGAGGTAACCACTGATCCTAGACTTTCTTCTTATGTCTTACTTCCTACTTCCTTAATCTACTCTGAATCATGGATTTTTAAATAGTAGTAACATTTTGTTTTGAAAACATTCTGTATTCATAAATGAGGTTTTTGATAACCAAGATTTGTTCCTTGGGATACATCAACTTCTAAAATTTTTTAGCCCCTCTAATTCCTTCTCCCTTCCTTCCTTCACTGCCTCCCTCCCTTCCACAAATATTTTCTAAGTGCCTGGTATGTTCAATCCCTGCTAAATTCAAATTTTTTTAAACTCTTTCCATTTTTATGTTTAGTGTTTTCTTTAGCAGGATATGTGAGATGCTCCATTGATGTATGTGTGTGTGAGTGTGAGTGTGTGTGTGTGTGTGTGTGTGTGTGTGTGTGTGTGTGTGGTATCTAAAATTCCGTTTGTATTTTTTAAATCACAAGCACAGAGGATGTTGAGCTGTACTGTGCCATGGTACTGAGACCTCACTAGGTCCTTGGGTCTGATGACCACTTACTTGTCCAGTGTGGTTCAGGAGTGACCTGAAAGAAGGGACTTGGACAAGTTGGAGTGGAGTAGCAGTGCTGTGTACATTCACATATTCACTCTGAATATTGCAATTTTCTCGCAGTCTGTGTGTGCTACATTAAGTGCATTTACAGGTTGTCTAGTTTCAACTTAACCCTCATAGGATGGGTGAGTGGTTTAAAGATTGTTGTCACAGGATGTTACATATCAAGATACCAAAAAACTCCATACTAATCTGTCCCTTCAAGTAAGGATTAATGTTATGATAATGGATGACGCAGCAATTACTTTTGGAAATGAACTTATGTGATGGAGAAGGACATTTATTTGAAACATTTGGCAATTTAAACATCACTTCATGATTTTTGTCATTGAAAACTATATACATCATCATAAAACTCTTAACACCTTAAAAACCTGGAATCAGAGATTCCAAATGTGTTTAAAACTTGTACAAGTAATCGCAGTGAATTTGAAACTGATTGTCAAATATAAAACTAGAGTGCCTTTTGATTTAGTCATAAGAATTCTTTGAGAAAATGAGTAATTTCCTAGCCACATTTCAACAAAATGATTGATGGATGAGACTGAGTAAAAGATGCACCTTTACTTGGGTCTTGGATCTTTGTTAGTCTTTTTCAGATATAATAATGATGAAAACCATAAATGAAAAAACTGATTTTGAAACAAGTTTTCAAGCTGCCATTTCATAAACTGCTAAACCAACATATTAAAAATGTCTCATACTGTATGAGTCAGTTTATATGACATAGTCAGAATAGGCAAATCTATGGAGACAGAAAGTAGACAAATGGTTGCCAGGGGATGGGGGAAGGAGGAATTGGGAACAACTGCTAACAGATATGGGGAAATGTTCTGGAATTAGATAGTGGTGATGGTTGCACATTGTAACTATACCAAAAATCACTGAATTGTACACTTTGAAATGTGAATTTTATATTATGTGGAGTTTATCTCAATAGAATAATCACACAAGATAAAGTTTTAAAAATGACCTATATTCAATATTGAATAATATTTTTGTATTTTTGAAGCAATTTTTTCATTGTTTTTACTTTTTTTAACATCTTACCTACATTTCTAATGCTTTATATTACCTATATTAACATAGTAGCACTTGTTCATAAGAATAAAACATATATATAAAACATATATATATAAACATATATATATATATAAAACATATATATATATATAACATATATATATGAAGTTTATGTTCAGAAAAGTTTTAATTGATGGGCTTATTGGAACAAAAATGTCTGGAGATCGTAACTCTGAGTGTCAGGTAATTTCTTCATATAAATAGCAAGCTTCTCCTGGCATAAGCAGCTACTGCTGCATCTCGTCCTCCACTAAGAGTCTTTGTTAATTCATACCTCTAAAGATTCAAACTTTGGGAAAAAAATAAGGAATAGTCTCCTACAATTTTAGTTATGAACTCTTGACAATATAGTACCTGTTTGCGTATGTGATAAAAGCTCTAGCATATATACCAAGAACCACAGTAGTTTTGAATATACAGTTTGCAAGTATAGGTTAAGATCAAGAGACAGAATGGCAAAAAAGTTTCTATTGAATAAAATACTCATAGACTCCTTTTACTCTGGGCTCTGTCTGTGATATATTTTCTGTGGGTAAAGATTGGAGGGAGGAAAAGCCATACTTTTCTCTGGTAGTAGTAGGTAGAGGCCCGGGCTTTTCCAGTTGTGAGATTTTGCATTTGTCTCTAGGCATTCCATTCTGAGTCACCTGCCTGTCTTTGAGTGGCAGCATCCACTTCCTGATTCCCTGGACCATAGCTGCAGTGTCAAGCCTGAAAGCTAGCATTGGTCATTGGTGTCCCCAATCTTTTGGTCTTCTAGTTCTTCAGTGTTTAAGTACCTAAGTCCTTGCATCAAATCCTTTTGGAAATATTTAGAGCACACTCTTTTTTTTTTTTTAATTATCAAGGGGTTATTTTATTTTTCCTCATTATAAATGTAATCTATAATTGCTTACTGTAGAAAATTGGGAAAATAGAGAAGTTAGGAAAAAAATATTTTTAATCGAAGTATAATTATACTCGATATCCTATTAAATTCAGGTGTACATCATAGTGATTCAGTATTTGCATACATTATGAAATAATCCCCATAGCTGTAGTTATCATCTGTCACCATAGCTACTACAATACTAGTGACTGTATTCCCTGTGTTGTACATTATATCCCTGTGACTTATTTCCAAACTGGAGACTTGTATCTCTTAATCCCCTTCACCCAGAGCAGGTTCTGTTTCCCTAACTAAACCCTGTCTGATACAGTTGGCATATGCTTTTCACCTTGTCACAAGGTGGCTGCTCTACGTCTGAAGTTGCAACAGAGTGGAAAGGCAAAGGCAGCCAAAATTAAGGCTAAGGGAAGAGTCTTCTTGAAGTTCTGACACCAGCCTCAAGGTTGGGGGACCAAGTGAGAGCCACTCTTACTTTGTACCAGCTGGCTACAAATTCGTGGGTCCCCCCTAGATTCCCTTAGTAATACAGCAAAGTGTTATGCTTACGATTACAGGTTTTTTTTTTAATGACCAAAGTATACAAATCCAAACCAGCCAAAGGAATAGATACATAAGGACTGAGAGGGCTCCAAACCTGAAGCTTGCATCAGCCTCAGGGACACGTGGCGCTCCTGGCATCAATGTGTAGTGGTACATATTGGGAAAATTCCCATCCCAGGAAGCTCACAAAGCTGTTGTGTGAAGAGTTTTTATTGGGCTTCTGTTTCATAGGCGTGATGGATTGAACCATTGCCCACCTGGAACTCAGTCTTTACCCTCTTTCCTCCTCTCCCCTGAGGTCGGGCTGATATCCCCTGGCTCAGTGCTCCTACCTGTCACTCACATGGTTGGTCTTTCTGGTGTGGCTAGCCTCCATGCCAAGTCCTCGTATTAGTGTAAACAATCTAGGGGTCCCCATGAGTCACCTTGTTAGCATAAGCTATCAGATATGGTTAGAGGGGCCATATCACTGAGTAAGAAGAACACTCCTAAAATTTGGGAAATTCCAAGGGTTTAGAGGTTCCCTTCCAGGAGCCTGGATTGAGGCCAGACCTCTCTGGCATATCTGAACCATATTTCTCACCTTTTACTTTCACTTCATCTCCTTGAACAGAATTCTGTTGCATGGCCACTATCTCCATGGAAAGCTGGGAAACATTTTTAAGAAGATGAGGGCATTGCTGCTGTCCTCCACCCACTGGAATTTGGGCTTATTAGTAAAGAAGAAAGAACAGATACTAAGTAGACCGCTACGTTTCTCTGCCACAGCTTCTGCCAGTTAGTGGTGGCAGTAGTTGAGATCTGTTGTGGAATAATTTATTATAAAAACTATGTAAGCTTAGGAGCTCATTTACTTGAGAACAGCAAATGTTTACTAATTGCCACTTGAGATTGACTTAACAATGTACAATTTAGGGTAGCATAATAAATATTTCTACATTTAGTTTATAAATCAGTGACAACAGAAAAATTTTAATGTTATTTCTGTTAACAGTGCCATTTATAAAAAACAACATTTTCACAGAACAATATAGAAATGTGTGGCTCTCATCATGTGCCTTTATTCAAGCTCTCAAATCATAGCATTCTGTGAGAAGAAATATAGTGGTATGTTTAATTCCATTGTCTTCCTTGCTTCATAGCCAAAGATAATAATAGTAATGAAACATGAATGATGGCAGTATTTAAAAAAAATAGTTTTGTCCTTTCTCTATGCTTCCAGGTAGAAATGAGACAGGAAGGACTAGTAGCCAAGAGCGTACATATGTATGTACTCTGCTGGTGAATACATATGAGCTCACCAGGTGCTCAGTAGAAAGAGCATGAACACCTAGAAGATTTTAAGTAAGAAGTGCCTGCATGTTTGGTATTTCTTGGCCATGG